GTTTTCCAAGAACTCCCCACGTACAACGTGAGAGCGAGGCGCCAGGAACAACAGCGACCTATCCCATATCGTGTAGTCTTATACTACCGAGGAAAACAATGCTGGTATACCTCGACTCAACACGGCACTCACCAAGCTTACACGAACCAGCTCGTTGTTCAAGCCATGGCGATCCACACGACAAATCGCCGCGCTGGGCGATGGCGGGGCTCCACGAACCATCCTTCCCAATCCAATATTCAATTATCTATGCACATATTGTATTCATATTCTTCTTTTCAGCTGATCAGAAACTACAATCGATATTTATTATATATAAGATGCATATATATTGCTTTTTGCTACTCCGAGTGTGTCGTCGTACTCTACACACACTCTGGTCCATCGGCGCGCTGCCGAGCTCGCCCCAATGTTGACCTCGTTCGTGATGTGTGCGATCGCATTTCCCCAGGGCCGCGTGGCGCTGGTCGTGATTGACCTGCAGCAAGCGAGTTCCTTCACCCTCCGTACACTGACCGCGAGCGGTCGACGCCAGAGCTCGAGGCGAATGTGGGCCAATTGATCGCTGCGTTTCGCCAAGCGTCGCTGCCCATCGTCCACGTCCACCACCACGACAAGGCGCCCGGGTCATCGTTCAGTCCCGAAACGAGCCCTACCGGAGTCCTTCCACAGACGTACGTGACGCCGCTGCCCCACGAGCCTGTCGTGATCAAGCATGTGACGTCGGGCTTCATCGGCACCAACTTGGAGAAGTTGTTGCGATCGAACCAGTGGGATGTGCTTGTGGTCGTCGGTATGTCAACGGTTCACTGCGTCAGCACGTCGATCCGAGCGGCGAGCAACTTGGGATTCCAAGTTTATGTCCCACACAACGCTTGTGCGACGTTCAACAGTGCTGCAGCTCCTGGCAGCAAGGTCGCCACCTCGTTTGACGCTGATACGATGCAGGCCGTCGCGCTCGCGGAGCTCCATGACGAATTTGCGACAGTTGTGTCCACGGAAAGCGTGTTGAAAGCTCTTCGCTCGTAGGCTACAGTGCTTTCTTCATAGCCGCCAGCACCATGTCGTTGGTGTTTCGCGCCGTACGCTGCATCGGCCGCCAATACCATTCTCTTGACTCTTAACTCCCCGCAGAGACCGAAATGAAAGCATACACGTCCCGTTCAAAGACTCGTTCAATC